AGTTTGGACTAGGAAGCCTAGCCCGAACTACCTAGTCCGTGCCGCGTGTAGCCGCGCGGCACGGGGTTCGAACGAGCTGTGATTTAAAAATGGCGGCTCCCCGCTTATGCAAATGAAGCCTGGGAAATTCAAATCCCGGGCTTCATTTGCAAGTGCGGTATGCCTACATTACCCTCCTAGTTCGAACTAGGAGGGTAGTGTAGACATACCCTTAGAGAGTAGTTATTAATGGTTCACAATCATGCCGGAAGGGCATAATTAGTGAGGTTCTGCACGGGTCTGTTTTGGGACCAGTTCTGTTCAATATCGTCAGCAATGATTTAGATGATGGCATAGAGAGTACAATTATTAAGTTTGCAGATGAATCCAAGCTGGGCGGGGTTGCAAGTGCTTTAGAAGATAGGGTCATAATTCAAAAGGATCTGGACAAACTGGAGAAATGGTCTGCAGTAAATAGGATGAAGTTTAATGAGGACAAATGCAAAGTACTCCTCTTAGGAAGGAATAATCCGTTTCACACATACAGAATGGGAAGTGATTGTCTAGGAAGGAGTACTGCAGAAAGGGATTTAGGGGTCAGAGTGGACCACAAGTTAAACATGAGTCAACAGTGTGACACTGTTGCAAAAAAAGGCGAACATGATTCTGAGATGCATTAACAGGAGTGTTGTGAGCAAGGCACGAGAAGTCATTCTTCCGCTCTACTCTGCGCTTATTCGGCCTCAACTGGAGTATTGCGTCCAATTCCAGGCACCACTTTTCAAGAAAGTCATGGAGAAATTGGAGACGGTCCAGAGAAGAGCAACAAATGATTAAATGTCTAGAAAACATGATCTATGAGGGAAGACTGAAAGAAATGGGTTTGTTTAGTTTAGAAAAGAGAAGACTGAGAGGGGACATGATAGCGGTTTTCAAAGAGGGAGAAAATTTGTTCTCCTTGATCTCTGATGATAGGACAAGAAGCAATGGGCTTAAATTACAGCAAGGGAGGTTTAGGTTGGACCCCAGGAAAAAATTCCTAATTGTTAGGCTGGTTAAACGGTGAAAAAAATTGCCTAGGGAGGTTGTGGAATCTCCATCACTGGTGATATTTAAGAGTAGGTTGGATAGACATCAGGGACGACCTAGACAGTGCCTGGTCCTGCCATGATGGCAGGGGACTGGACTTGATCTTTTGAGGTCCCTCCCAGTTCTAGGATTCCAGGATTCTATGATTCTGTGAAGTAGGGACCATTTCTATGGCCCCTAGGCATAACATGTGATGTATTTCCTTATGGAAAAGTCTTGCTTTCGCTGTACAATGTAGATAGCTCTTTGGGTCAATACTGTTTATACAACACTTTTAATTCATTAATCAATTTTGTCATCTATCCTGCCTCCAGTAGACAACATACAATTTTGCAAATTACCTTCTAAGCTACAAAAAAAAAAAATCCTGTTTCTGGTAAATTTTCTTATTGCCAGGTTTTCCTTCATGCAAGAACACTCTCTGAAACTTCTGATACTGCTCAGAATAGCTCCCTTGCTTTTCTACCAGTGTTTTCAACAGCAGTATTTGTTGGCAGACAGCTCTGCATGCACAAATGATTGTACACTTGCACCTTTGCAATTTGAGAGATAACTCAGACAACTGCTGCAGCCGAGCATACATAATTCCAAGATTATGTGGAACGACTGAACTGATGTGATGATTAACTGCACACTTAGATCTGCATAACCTCAGCAGCTTGCATTGTCACAGGAAACGTCTTTAGCTGCCAAATTAAAGTATTTGTTCAGAACGGATTACACTTTCTAAGCTGCCGTCACCATTTTAAAGTTTGATGCAACCCTTCTAGTGTCTAACACACAGCCTGTTTTGCAAAGATGAATGTGAAGTGCTTCTGCCCACTTGTGTAGTTATAAGCGATTTTTTCCAGATGTGCTATAGAGCAAACATAGCGTGTCAAGTAAGATTTTAAAGTGATTTGTAGCTCCATCATCTTTCATAACATCCCTGACTGCAAGCTCTAGCCAATAAGCACAACGTTGCCATGCTATAATATTCGGAAACATGTCTTGCAGCCAGCTCACGGCACCAGCATTTCATCCAAATATCACTGAAGCTCCATCAGAGGCAACTGTTACCAAGCACTTGGTGAGAAAATTTTCAGTTACATTTACCATTTTAAGTGCAGATAATAAATTGTTCACTATTCCTGCAGCAGAGAGATCAAAACAAAAACATTCACAGGAGCCTTCATGACATCTAACTACATCTCCATATACACAAAGAGAGCACTTTTTGTTTAATACCATAGTTTTATCAAGTAAGCAACTCACTTTAGGAGCAAGTGCTATAATTTAGTAAAACAACTTTTTCTTCTTTCGAGAGGAAATGTGATTTTAAATGTTCCAGCATTCCACATTGGAATACAAAATCTGCCCCATTTCCAATCCATTCAACTGCTAGCAGTCAATTTCTTATTCAAAGTGCCTGTTGTGCTTTGCTTCTTAGGATATGGCTACATAGCAGCGTTATTTCGGAATAACTGACACTATTCTGACATAACAAAGAACGTGTCTATGCTACAAGCTTTTATTTCAAAATAATGTCAAACTGGAGGACTTCTTACTCTAACTCATGGTAACCCTCATTTCACAAGGAGTACAGGAAGTCAAAGGAAGAGTGTTCTTCCTTCGACTTCCTGCTGTGTAAACAGCACCAACAGCCGAATTAAGCTATTTTGACTTCAACTACGCAATTGACGTAGCTGAAGTCACATAGCTTATTCCAACTTTAGCCTTGCTGTGTAGACGTACCCTTAATGACCAATATGGAAGATTCGGACAGCTGACAATATTTGAGCAGACTGGGCATTTGCGGATATTCATACTAATGTGTCATTCTTTGCCTGGTCCAAAATATCAGAAGCTATGACATGTACATTGGTTTGTGCATATTCTACCTTTTTTCCAGGATACTTTTTGTTGCTTGATTTGATTGGGATAATAGGACCTGACATTAGCTTTTGTCTATTCTTTTGACAACTTCATAGCAGATTCTTCGGGATGCTGGTTACTATCTTGCCAAACACACTACAACTAGGATTTGATCAATTTATGACTAACTAAAGGTACTGGTTTTAGATTTTTTTTTTCACATTTCCATCCTGCAGGAAGTAAATCTTTATGAGCCGCCTCGTGCTGAGCTATTTTGCCGTCTTTCTTACTAGTGCTCTGTGATTCAGAATCACGGTCATCAAAAGAATTTTCACACAACTTTCATCTGAAATTTTGTGAACTTGATTTTCTACTGTAAATCTGCCACGAACATATGTAACAGAAGTACTTGGTAAACATTCTAGTTCTTTTCTATGAGTTCCATCATGCATCTTTCTGTCCGTTTTATTTTTCTTATTAGCCGGCTCATGTTCACTTGCACCTGATGAGAAAAATACAACCATATCTTCTTTGGGCATTGTGACATTATCACAAACATTAATTATGCTTATTGCTTTGACAAAAAACTGATGGCTGCTGGGTGGAGTGTTGATGCTACTGCATCGCACAAGCAGCATGGCAGGGGTATTCCTCTAGCAGCTGAGTGATGTGTGAGTGGTGGAGTGTTGCACTGCCCCTGCTTGAAACTCTTACACTTGCAGTATGGATACAATTGTGTTGAGAACTTTACGAAGTATTTCAGAGCAAAAGATAGAGGGGTTTTTTTTTACTTTCATAACTGACAAGGCCAGCCCAGAGGGACTGGGGCTATGAACTGCCAAGCCTAAAGGCTCAGCTGCTGTAAGCCCCAGCACAAATTAAACACTTCAGTATGTCTTAAAATGTCCTTCCTGTAAGCAGTTTTCATCAGACAAAGCTCTACCATCTCCCTGTCAATGTGATCCTTGCCTTACAAACCTGCTTGCTATGCAACCGCAGCATTGCGATGTTCCATACTGTTTTTGGAAAAACAATTTGTCTCTTCTCGGGAGGGGGGAAGGGGGTTCCAGTCGGAAGAGACTGGGGCTTTGAAAGTGCTAAAATTATTAGGAAATGAAAAGGGTTGCAAATGAAACAGAATACTTCCCCCATGGATTTAAAATACCTCTGATAAAGCTCTCCATTGAAAGGTTTCATTCAAAAAGAAGGAGTAGGGCATATTACTTCTGATGTTTGTGCTGCCGCTCTGAATCTGGAAATTTGTCATTGCAATTCTGAAAACAGAATGAACATTGTTTGATACATGTGTGCAAAACTCCTGTTATCAAAGAAGACCTTTTAGTTGGTCTTGTTAGATGCTAACAGCAACATTATCCTCCATCATTGCTATTCTCTATCCTCCATCACTGCTATTCTTCTGCCCAGACACATGGTGGGAAAAGTAGGTTGTCTCTTTCATCATTACTTTTGTCCTGGATTTCAAAACCACCTCTCTTTTCCTTTGCTGTCCCCTGAGGGAGCAAGTTTATATCCATATTTTCACTTTGATTATTATTTTCTGAGAAAAATGATTCAGTATCTTTGGAAGATGATTGTGAAGCAGTACTAGCATATGTAGCCTCTAGGTTTGCTTGCCTATACATATATCTATTTTCTTATGGTTTAATTACTTGTTTATTATAGTAGGTGTCATACCTATTAGTACTGACCAGCACCTGGTGACTAAGGGGTTAACCCTGTAGCTAGCCAGGTATCAGGTGGTCATCCAATAACAATGCAGGTAGGAATTTCAAACTGGAAAAGAGGAGTTTTTATCTCTCTATTCTTTGTCTAAGAGGCAGAGCGGTTTCTTCCAAGACTGAGGAAAGACGCTTCTCTCTCCTGAAACGGACTTCTTACAATGTGTAAGTAGGGAAAAGTTTAGCTAGTCTATCAGGATTTGTTGTTTTCCTGGTTTGGGGATTTGGAAATAATGTCTGAGCTGTTAATTGTGTTTTCTCTCTTTTGTAACTAAGCTTTTAGCTCAGGGGCTTCCCCTGCGTATCTAGATCAGTTGGTGGCTCTTCCCATCCACCCACTTTACTATGCTTGCAACTGTAGTTTGGTTCTGATAATGAACGATTGTTTCTTTTTCTAATTAACTGGTATTGGTTGATTTTTTATGTCCTAGAAGCTCTGTCTGTGTGTGTCTGCATGCCTGATTGAGGGGTCAGCTACCCCAGACTGCAGCTTGTTTTTCTCTTTTTTAATTTCAAGCTCTTTTGGGGAAAAGTGCTTGGGGTAGCCCTGGGGTTGGTTTCAAGTGTCCATCCCTGTTTGTGTATTCAAAAGCACTTCATGGTGGAAGCAGATCCCTCAAAATCTGGGTATTCTGATTTTTGGGGGAAAGTTTTGTATCAGAGCCTGTAGAGGCAAACTTTTGGAGTGCTCTTGTGGGCCCTCACTTCTGCATTCATTGTGCCAGAGTGGGGAACAGCTTTGACACTAGGTTGATAGGTTTATATTAAAGTAATTTGGCTGTAATGCAAAGGCCAAATCCTGTATGTTGAGCTAAGGCAAAGTTAGTATTTTTGTCTGGGACCTTTGTCCAGATAGCAAAACCAGTATGCATATATTGGAATCCTTCACATAAATAAATAGTGATAAGATAAAGCATTGTTTCGTGGCATAGGGGGGTTCCAAGAATACTCTCGAACTTAACAAGTACACTACCAGGAAAACAAAAATTCCCAGGAAGCACTGGAGAGTAATTAGTTTGAATTACTCTGGGGAGTAGTTATTTCAAAATAGCAGCACCAGAGCATCCACACAACCATTATTCTGAAATAACTATTTCACAGTTAGCATTACTTCTGATGAAAAGCAGGAGTACAGATTTCGAATTAAGCGGCCCGTTATTTTGAAATCACAGGTTTGGTAGTGTGGATGCTCCACTTACAAATTCAACCTTAGGGGGGTTATTGGGAAATAAAGTCCTAGTGTAGACCAGAGCTATGTGTGACAGGGTCAGGCCAGAGGGGTACAGCAGAGTGCTGGATTAAATAAGTCCTTGTTCCCAGAATAAACCAGCAAGGGCTAACCCAGAACCAGCCGGAATCTGCTAGAATCAATCGGAGTAATCAGGCCAGCTAAAACACCTAGAACCAATTAGGGGGCTTTCCCATTCAAAGGAGCAAGGTGAATCAGAACAGCTGGGGAGCCAATTCAAAACCAGCTGAGACTGGTTTCAAAAGGCTCAGGGTGTGTGGAAGGAGCTGTGGCGAGGAAGCGTGGTGGAGAGTCTGGGAGAAGAAAATACAAATGAATACCAGGAGGAAGAAGCTAAGGTGGGGAAGTGGCCCAGGGATCTGTAGATGTCACACAGTTGTTACTACAGGTTGAAACTCTCTTGACTGAAACTTGAGTAGTCCCGAATGAGGGATTTTGCAGGACCAGAGAGCCCACGTGGCGAGCCAGCAGTAAGGATCTCTGCGGGGCCGGCAAGGCAGTGGGTTGCCCGCAGGGAGCTGACAGTGGGGCCATCCAGCATGGCACGCATGGCTGCTCATGAAGCTGTGGTGCCTGGTGCTGCCCAGGGAGCCCCAGCGTGTGGTGTGCATGGCTGCCTGAAGTCCCAGTGCTGGGCTGCCTGATGGAGCCACAGCAGCAATGGCTTCCCAACAGGGCAGCAGGGCAGTGGGGCCAGCAGGAGGTGGGGAGCCAGCAGGGAGGCCAGCAGCCGGGCCAGTGGCAGGGGTCCAAAAATGATCTCCCCTGGTCCAGCAAAATCCCTCATCCGGGACCAGTCAGTCCCAAGGGTGTCAGACAAGGAAGGTCCAACCTGTAGAAACATTAGACAGCTGCTATTACAGGGCGCCATGCCTGGAACCTGGAGTTTCCCCCACCATCCACTCCCCATTTCAGGGCTAGGAAAAGACTGGCTTTGGTACAAGGGTTTGATCTGCTCTGTACCATTTGGAGAGACCACTGAGACAATTAAAGTTTGGTTTCCCCTCTTTTCTCCATGCTGGCCAATGATAAGTTCAACGAACTTCAAGCCGGTGTCTACATTGAGGACTGCTGTGGACCTCTGAAGCAAGTAAATCCGCCTGAAAGAGCAGGACCCACTAAGATTAAGAAGGAGCTTTGTTACATGTGATTCGATGAGACATCCTCCCTGATAGGTGCTCCTGTGGCTTTTCCCCCGGCACTTTCATAGCTTAGCCCACATGCAATAGGCAGGGAGCCTGGGTTCCTTAAATAACTCAGGACATGTCTTCTCACAGCATATTCCAAACCCAGGCTTAAATATAGCTCTCGTGCTGTGTACGGAGGAGGTCAGATTAGACCCATGTGCGGACAGCTCAGTTCAGTAGCCACCAGAAGACTGAGAGGTGGGACATTCTTTAAAGTAGGGATTGGTGTTTCCTCGGCAACAGCGACAAAACACTCCACCATTAATTTGGCTCCACTAGAAATGTGGACACCTGTGAAAAGATGTTTTGATGATGGCACAATGGTAGCCATGGAGGCCTGGCACGTTAGCTGCCGTTGCATGGGTGGGAAAAGTGAATGGTCTGTAGGAATGACTCACTAGCTATGCAGAGGAGAGATGAATTCCAGTATCAGTGCATAAGGCAATTAAATCCAGCAGCCTCCGCCTCTGTTGAGCACAAAATACAATTTTGACTGTTTAATTCATTACCAAAAAGATCACAGAGAGAATTAAGGTTACTTTATGAATAACCTGATCCTGAATACTGCGTTAATGTAATCTTGCAGGTTACCCTTTATTTTCCTTGTATATGCATTTCACTTCGGTTTTTATTTTAAAAAGCATTTAAGTCTAATTGACAGAAGGAATTAGAATTCCTGTGTTGCCAATACCAGTCATCAGTCACGTGAATATTTGATTACCTACTTAAGGTATCGGTGCTAGTACAGAATATTTGACTGTCTTCTCTCAAAATTGCCATTCAGTTTAAATATGTTGTAAATTCACATGTACATTGTGGCAATGTCTACTCTGTTTTCTGTTTGAAGTCTGTGTTGCAGATTAAATCACTAATCTTCAATGACTACAGTATTTAAAATGTTGATTTTAGTATACTGTGCTAAACAACAATTATTCACATTTTTCAGTATTAGCAAAATAGCATGAATGGCTTTTTACAGTGGTGAGACTTCTAGGAAAAGTAATGCCATGTATACTCATGAAAATTCTGATCACATTCCTTTGGTAACATTGCTCTGGTAGAAGACACAGGAATCATGATGCCGTGTCTCCTCTTTTCTGAAAATGCAATTGAACCAAAGCTGAGTGATATATTTCATATGGAGCCAAGTCTTAAATGTATGCAGAAGAAAAGAAGGGACAGCAGTTGTGTGGAGATGGTGATATTTTGGGAGAAAAAGGAACGGAAAGGCAGGTGTTCTAAGATGATGCAGAGTTACAGCTGCACTGTGAGCCCTAGGCGGGAATATTTTTTCTCCCCCCAACACATACTGATACTGAATAGGGGTCCTCCTTGAGCGGTTTGGGGCCCTAAGCAATTGCTTAGTCTGCCTGTGCCTAGCACCAGTTCTGACATTGAGCTCACTAATGTAGCAATATAGAAAACATAAATTGTGTGTTTGGATGAAGTAGTAAAAGGTAATCTTAGGTGAAATGACTTTTTTTTTCTTTGCATTTTATTGCTTTTGTGGCTGAGGCAGGCATGTTGTCTGTATAGCAACCATCCTGTCAATATGGTTTTTATTATGGATGATTTTTTTTCATAGCTTGCAATCATGTCCTATGTATGGAGTACATGCACTGTGATTTAAAACACTTTCTACATATGATGCTCTTGATTGAAGTGGTTCCCAAACTTTTTATAAAGTAACCAATCAATCCCATTTTGTCCTTTTTTGTGATCCACCATGACACACTCTCTCTCATATAGATAAAGAAAGTATTTCCTATTTTTAAATTCTGTAACTGGGCAACGGAAATATTGATTTTGTATAAACTTCATAAAACATTACTGTATCTAGTATACAACCGGGAGATAGAACATGCAGTTAAATCAAAATCAGCCACTAATTCAAAAAAGAGAGAAAGAGCAAGAGAGAGAAAAGAGAAAATATATTACATGCTTGCCACACTGCTAGCACTGTACATTATTAATAAGCAGGCTGTTCTTTAGTTCTTTAGCTGCTTTGCACAAGCTTTTCAATTCTTGGGGTGGTTTTGGAGAGGCTGAGGTAATTTCAACAAGAAGTTTGTTTCATTGAATGTATAAAAAACACATAATAAGAGAACCACCCTTCCCCCTAAAAAAAAGGGGGGGCCACCATGGCTTAACAACGAAGTAAAAGAAGCCATGAGAGATAAAAAAGCACTGTTTAAAAAATGGAGGTTAAATCCTAATGAGGGAAATAGAACGGAGCATAACTTCTATCAAATGAAGTGTAAAAATATAATTAGGAAGCCCAAAAAGGAATTTGAAGAACAGCTAACCAAAAACTCAAAACGTAATAGCAATTCTTTAAAGTACATCAGAATTGGGAAGGCTGCTAAACAACCAGTGGGGCCATTGGACGATCAAGGTGCTAAAGGAGCACTCAGGGACAATAAGGTCATGGCAGAGAAACTAAACAAATTCTTTACATTGATCTTCATGGCTGAGGATGTGAGGGAGCTTCCCAAACCTGAGCCATTCTCTTTAGGTAGCAAATCTGAGGAACTGTCCCAGATTGAGGTGTCATTAGAGGAGGTTTTGGTAAACAAATTGGTAAACTAAACAGTAACAGGTCACTAAGACCAGACGGCATTCACCCAAGAGTTCTCAGCTCACATGTAAAATTGTAGAACTATTAACTGTGGTTGGTAACCTATCCTTTAACTCATCTTCTGTACCAAATGACTGGAAGATAGCTAATGTGATGCCAATTTTTAAAAAGGACTCTAGAGGTGATTATGACAATTACAGACTGGTCTAACTACAGTCCTGAGCAAATTGGTTGAAACTCTAGTAAAGAACAGAATTGCTAGACATATAGATGAACATAATTTGTTGGGGAAAAGTCAACATGGTTTCTCTAAAGGGAAATCATGCCTCACTAATTTACTAGAATTCTTAGAGAGGGTCAACAAGCATGTAGGAAATAAGATCCAGTGGATATAGTGTACTTAGATTACAGAAAGTCTTTGACAAGGTTCCTCACCAAAGGCTTTTAAGGAAAGTAAGTTGTCCTGGGATAAGAGGGAAGGTCCACTCATGGACTAATAATTGGTTAAAACAGTGTTTCCCAATTTTATTTGGCCACGGAACCCCCAGGACTGCCTTAAAAAAAAAGGCCCCAACTGTGTTTCATTGAACAACAAAAAAAATGTTGCCGTGATTTCTGCCGTGGCTCTGTCTCTTTAAGAGGGGGCGGGGTAGTGCTGGCTCTTCGCCGAACCCTTGCTTTCACTTCTGCGGAGCACCAACTGGGAAACACTGGGTTAAAAGATAGGAAGCAAAGGGTAGGAATAAATGGTCAGTTCTCCAAATGGAGAGAAGTAACTAGTGTTGTCCCACAGGAGTTCACACTGGGACCTGTCCTACTCAACATATTCATAAGTGATCTGGAGAAAGGGGTGAACAGTTAGGTGGCAAAATTTGCAGATGACACAAAAACTGTTCAAGATAGTTAAATCCAAAGCAGATTGTGAAGAACTTCAAAGGATCTCCCCAAACTGGGTGACTAGGCAAGAAAATGGCAAATGAATTATAATGTTGATAAATGCAAAGTAATGCCAGAGGATGTTGTGCTGACTAGGACTATAACAGGGTTCAAAAAACCAGTAGATTCATGGAGAATAGGTCCATTGATTGCTATTAGCCAGAATGGGCAGGAATGGTATGCCTAGTCTCTGTTTGTCAGATGCTGGGAATGGGTATCAGGGGATGGATCACCTGTTCATTCCCTCTTAGGCACCTGGCATTGGTCATGGTCAAAAGACAGGAAACTGGGAGAGATGGACCTTTGGTCTGATCCTGTATGGCTGTTCTTATGTGTATATATATATTTGGTCTTCTTTGCTGTCAGCACAAAAAACTGGTCATTTATTACTTTTTCAGACAACATAGGGTATGCACATCTATTCCCCAACCAGAAAATTTCCAATAACTGGGAAGGAAATCTCACCTTTTGAGAGCTGTTCAATCAACTCATCATCCTTCTGTTGCTGTCGAGGGAATACTCTTTGCTTGTTTTTGTTTACTGTGAATGGGTCCCAAATCCAGTCCTTGCAATCAGATTCCAATTCAGGGAAGTAACATGAACATTTCTAGTGAAGCAGGTTTGTTTGATGATATGAAACAGAATGTGGTCAGTGCTGCTGAGGTGTTCTAAAAGAAGTGGAAACAGGTCTGCAATCCATTCTCAATTGACAGTTTCAAACATAAAATGTCCTCTGAAAAACTTTTATTTCATCTTGCAAACAAGAGAATTGGTATTATTACCCCGCAAATATAAATTAGCTGCACTTGCTTTTGTAAAGATATTCACAAGGTAAGCAAACCAGGCCATTCAAGCACCATTCCTGAAGCAAGCTAGTAACGCAGAGTTAATTCCTGACAGAAACTGCACTCGTTCATTCCTGAATTCCAAGACCTATTTCAAAGCTTTATCATGAGACAGCCAATGCACTGCAGAATGAAGAATCACAGCATTGTTCCTCGCACTCCTCTCAGAACACAAAATAGCAAATAAACATGGTTTGCTGATTTAATGGGACTGTTAAGAATGTCATGTAATTTTGCATCCATTTGTTTTGTTCACAGTCAATAATGCAGCGCAGTGCTATAGCATACAGTGTAACCTTTCTGTCAGCTAGTGTTTGACATCTAGGTATTTCTTTTAAGGGTACAAAACAGAACAGGCTCAAGACCCCACCGAGTAATATCAGAAAATTAAACACCACCCCCAGGCATGTCAAAGGGGCAATACTTCTCCACTGACAAGCACAGTCTGTATATAACAAAAGAAAATGTTTTTTAAAAGGGAGCAAACACCCACACCACAGAGCACTTGGCAATGTCCTTCACTTTCTCAGCTTGTGGTGTGAAAGTCTGGCAAAAAAACATCCTATGAGCATGACACACCCCTTTCCCACCACTGAACGCTTCGAAGGTGTCTGTCCTTGGTCAGGGAAGACCCAGAGTTCAAAGGGAAGTTTGCTAAGAGCTGAAATCTAAGTACTGGAGTAAGTGGTGGAACTTAAGAATGCAGCCATAAGCAGCAAGCAACAGCAGCAGTAACAGTGGTAAAAGTGATTATGAGCTGCAGGCTGTAGCTAGTGGAGGCAGAGAAA